TTAATGCCAGAGCCAAGTACAAAAATTGAAGCTCGAAGAATTTTGAAAATAATCTCACTTCGAACAGATTCACTGCTTTCTTATATTCCACGTGTAACTGCTGCACTTGACTTTGTAAAAATCTTTGTAAAAATCCAGCAGTAGTTTCCTCTTAAAAAGTTCAAGAAGATGGCGCGAGGTTGGCCCTTGATGTAATTTCAGAGTCAAGCGTGACAAATTGCTCGAAGACTATTTCGAAGTTTATTTACAAATGATTCTGATCTCGAATTTATTGCTTGTAGTAAGTGAGATGAGAAATTTACTACTTAACCTGAACCTAACCTAAGATGAATTGCTCAACTTAACCTAACCTAAAAAATTAGCAGATAGATAAGAAATTCATCACTTGCTTGTTACATATTCTACGTGTAAACTTGATTTGACTCGACTGAAAAATCTTTATCCTGGAAGGATAGGGGAAGAGATTTTTCTTTCAATGCGACGCGACGAATTATTCATGGCTCGGAGCGTGGCATTCAAGGTCCCTCGCGTACGACCAACGAGCTGAAATAAAGATTGTTTTTTCGAAGCTCGAAAGCGGTAGATGTTGTTGCCAGCGCAGGTCCGGCTCGATCAAACTTGAAACTTGCACGGAAGTGACGCGACAGAACACGGTTAACGATCAAGTTAGCCTCATGCTGGTAACGTGCAACCTACTTAATTGCGCTGCCAGTAACGAGGAAAAGTGGAGCATCGTTACGAATGGCCGAACTCTTATCCTCATTGCCCCTCGCGTGATTTATTTATTCGCCGTGCGCGTCTCGCTTTCGTACTCCTCTTCGAGAATTCTTTTTTCTCTTTCTCTCTCTGCCAATTTGAATAACACGCCCGATGAGTGGCGTGCAATCGAAGGGAAGAAAAGGAAGATAGAGAAAAGAACGATAATAAAATATTGCAATAAAATCGAAAGAGGATGAGCGAGTAGATAGTAAGGTATAAAATTTAAAAAAAAAGAGAGAGAGAGAGAGACGAGTGTAGAAAGATCTGAAGAAGAGAACGTCTTGTCTCGGAGAGGAAATGAAATTCTAAAAAGGATGTTGCAATGAATATCGAAACGAGACGAGTGTGAGGAACATCCATCTTGTCTGGGAAAAGAGAATAAAATTCTCGGGTCCGCCTTAAAGAATTTCAAAGCACGACCTCTGGCCACCAGTTCAGTCTACCTGGCCAGGTATAGGATCATTAGGCGTGACCTTTCTTCGACGAAGAATTATCAACTTCCAAAGGTTGCTCAGAAACCGAGCCTGATGCAACTGAAAAATATTTAATGTTTCTCTTTTTTTTTTCTCGTGCTTATACTTTGTAGTATGGAACCTTCTCTATAAAATATGTCGATAGGGAGGTTCAGTGTTCTTGATTAGGTGTATTTTCTTAATATTACTCACCGTTCGGACAGGTGAAGACGTTCGTGGCAGGGACCTGTAACAGAGAAACGTGACAGAGTGCATTAGAAACGACCTGTTGCGACTCGAAGAGTCTTATTCTTTTCACCAAAGTGACAGGAAATGAACCTAAAGCGTGTAAATCGACAATTTTCTCACACTTTGTTATTGTCAGGGCCGTAAGAGTACGTATCAATTATGACATGGTTGTGCTGCAATCCAACGTGGCAAATCAGGAATTTGATCACTTGGAAAACTCGAGACAACAGTCATAGCACTACATGTCATAACAGAGGTGGCTAACTGGCGGCCTTTACCCCCACTTTCCTGATCTCTGAGCACTACCCCCTCCACTGCTCAATAGCGAAATCAACAGACTAAGAGAGTGGAACTCATGCACGCCGAGGGAATCTCAACTCACGTGTGGAGAGTTATTAATTTTTTTACATGTAGCATTCGATAGACAGTTATTCGATATTTTTATAGTACACAGTTTTCTACAGCAGTACAAGTTAGCCAGTTAGTCAAATCAGTTGTCACAATTAAATAGAGTTAGTCAAAGAAGTTACAGAAATTATAATAGAAGTCAAATAGTTAAGTTGACGATAAATCATAGGAGTAGCAAGATCCATCATAATTATTAATTTCCTATATCAGTGAG